GTTTTCCACCTGCAACCATTCGACAATATTTCGTTTTAGCGTTATCTTTGCCGTTACGTTGGCTTCCCGTTACTTTTGTTTTACGTTGGCTTCCCGTTACTTTTCTTTTGTTTTGATCGCGTTAAAAGAGTTATTTTTCAGGCCAGTGACGTAGCTAAAAGACTTGACATTAACGTCATTGTGATTTTAAAGAGATATCTCTAGAACTGAGGATTTTAGAAAGCGTTATCTGTACCTTCTCAAAGTTATAGACAAGATATGTTGTTTACGTCCAACACGCATAAGATTACATAACTCAAAATGATTCGAGCAAAACCGATCTTTTGTTAAAAGGAAGAATGGTTAATAGAAATTGGTCCTTTTGAGTGACATAATCGTGTATTGTCATCGATCCGTATCGTTGAACAATGAAAAAATTTGTTGTGAAATTAGTAAGATAAAATAGCATTTTGTGAAAAAACTGCGGGTCTACGGAGTGGGAACTTTTCGGATTTGAAATCAGCGTGTTCGAAAGTGTTAGTTCCCGTAAAAATATTTCAGATCTAAGACATGCTTAATGAAAGTGAACGATATCGGGTCACAACACACGGACTATTAAGCGTTTATTAGCAAGTGGGAAGGACCAACATGGCCGCCATCTATTCGAATGGGGGTATAACCGCTGGAATATTCTTGACTTCAATTTTACTAAAAGAGATGCGCTATCTAGTGTATATAAGATATCTATGCCAATTGTATCTTTCCAAAAGAGCCCAGCCAACCGGAAACTCAAATGAGCGTGATCTACATGCCTTCTGTTAACGCATATTAAATTCAATTTGTGTTCATGCGAGAAACAGGCCTGCCTGGCTTTGTGACAACTCGCCTAGCGCTAGATGGGATCTCAGTCAAATGGGGTAAGTTTTCCATATGAAGACTTTATCACACCTGACCGCGGGATGGACATTATTTGCCGATTTTGACGTATGATATAGTGCTGAACGGCATAGTTGGAAAATAAAAACAAAAAGTAAACATTAATAAACCGAAGCAGATATTATTAAAGTCGTAATACAAGATGCAATTTGTTTAATTACAACTAAAAATATTTCGAAGATGGCTGTTTACATAATTTCGTCCCAATGCAGCGGGATATTATAGGTGGGATAAAAACAGTCAAATCACTCATACGAACACAGAAATAATCCATCGTCACAGACTGGCTTGACCTTTATAGAAATATCTTTATTTTATAGTTGAGTAGTTTTGATTGTCTAACCAGCATGTATATATGTTAACGAAACGTCTACTTATTAAAAGCAAGCAATGTAAAAAATATCTCATATTAATATGAATATTTCAATTAAGAGTCCATTAATTCATACTTATATTAAAAAACTATATTTTGGCAACAAAAACAAGCACGCATTAATTTCGCAGCAAAAGCAATTTGATGAGCGGCGGTATTTTTAGTTCGGGGTTTTAACTTTGTGAGCTTGGCTCATTGCGACAAGAGAATATGAATCTGTCAGAAGGACAAGAATTTATGTCGTGTAATATTTTTGGAACAGAATATGCCTTCGTCAGAAAGCTTCCGTCTCATTCATTGTACATGAACCACATTATCACTATTGCTGTAAACGGCATCCTACTAATCCCCACTATTCTACTGAACGCTGTTTCAATAATGACCATTTCAAAGTCATCTCAACTGAACAGCAAACCTTGCTATTTTATCATTCTTATACAATCTGCAGCGGATTTTGCAGTTGGTGTTTTGGGGATACCTTCATTTCTTGCCAATCTTTCTGGTGAAGTAAGAGGAGATTCAAACTGCTTTGTAGCAGGTCTAGCGTACGGATTATCGCGTATAACACTCGGGATATCGACGCTTATATTATTTGGAATGACGTTGGAAAGATACATTGCAATACTGCATCCATATTCATACAGTCGAGTGACAAAGAAAAAGATTTTGATCTTTGTATGTTTTGCAGCTAAAGGTGTCGTTTTCGTGGTTATTCTCTCCTCTGCATTTCGAGTACTGCGCGCTACTTTTATAACTGCAACGGTAACACTGTTTTTCATTTTCGCTGCTTTTGTCTACACAAAAATTTATCTGGTCGTCATAAAGATGATTGACTCACAAAACATTACCCACAGCGTCGCTGTCCCTAAAGAAATCTTAACAAGAAAGAAACGTTTCCTCCAAGAAATTAAGCAAGCGAAATCTTGTTTCCTTGTTGTTTTGTGTTTTTTTTCCCTGTGTGTCTTGCCAGTGATACTGTCATCCATTGTCGTAATCAAGGGCAACCACTTGGACGTGCAGGCGTTTTATGCCTGGACAACGACGCTTGGCATTTTAAATTGCAGCGCTAACTCGTTGATATTCTTTTGGACCAAAACCATGTTAAGAAGGGAAGCCGTAAAGATGCTGAAATCTGTCGTAAACCATAGCCCATAGAAAAGGGCAACCTCCCCCTACCCACCGCAATAATTTCCGAAAGCCTTTGAGCGACAGTTGAATAACTGTGTAACAAAGATGTGACGATAATCGTTCAATCGTAAAAGCATTGTCAGGCTATAAATTAAGCTGTATATTGCATGAAATTTAAGTTAAAACGTTTGCATAAAGAAGATTTCCAGCAGCAAAATATAGTCAAATGTTCGCAACCTAAATTCGGCGGGTCGCCAATCAGGGACGGATCTAACCTTATCTGCAAGGAGGGGTGCAGGTTTTTTCATGGTGTGGTACATGAGCCTGGTGGGGGCCTTACTAAACATAGCTTAAACATCGGGGCCCAAAATGTTTTATTGCATTCTGAACACGAGTGCCAAAGGCAAGAGGAATGTAGGGGTAGCGGGGGCATGCTGAGCTGGAAATGTATTGAAACGTTGAGGAGGTTTTAAGAAAAGTTATACAACAACAAAAATCGATTTTTAAGTCGCCTAATGTTGTTAGATTGAAAAAAAAAATTTGTAAAAGATTGTGCTGTACATACAAATACAACAGTAAAATAGCACGATGTCTTTATTTTTGAAGTGGAAATTTTATTGTAATAAAGGAACTTATTGCCACAGCGATAAAAGTTTTTATTGCTTTCTGGAATAATTTATAGTTGAATTTAATTATGCGAAATAGGTTATTTTATAACTGAAATTAATGATGCGAAATAGGCTATTTGCGCCCGCAACTAGTTAATTTAAGTTTCGCCCCGTACTTGGAAGGTTCGGTATTTATAAGTGGTGAAGCGGGCCTTTTCTTTCCAATTCCACGAGAGTGCAGTTCACATCAAGAAATCGGACGAAAGAGATTTACCCACCCTCGTCCCCGTTTTGGATGCTATACGTTGAACTTCTATAGATACATTATGTATAGTGGGCGTTAGTAATACCTCCACTTTTTCTGTGCTAAATGTGATATAGTTATTAATTAACAAATAATTTTTCGTGTTAATTATTAAAAATTGATTAAAACAATAAAGCGGCTATGTGCTAACGACCGGGCACATAGCCATAATTATGCCATAAAGGCTTTGACTGGTCTTGTAGTATTCGGCAGCACAGAAAAGCGAGCTCAACCTGACAAACAGTTTGACGGTGGTGGTTTAATATATGCAGACAAGCGATAAAAAGAATGAAGCCGCCATATTTGAACTTTTAAGTTATTTATTCCTATATGATATTCCTATAATTATTCCTATAATTATATTATCATAAACGTGGTGTGAAATGTCGTTGCAAGCACTTCAAATATAAAAATTTAGCTCGAAGAAATGCAATAAAGATGGCGTAGGCAAGAAATAAGATGAAACCATCAACTATTTGATGTAATATTTCAAATCTGACTATGAGGGCTGGGTTAGATTTCATCAATTTGATCAAGCCCGAGGCGAAGCCGAGGACTGGATCAAAATGCGAGGACTTGAAATCTAGCCCAGTCCGAATTGTAGGATTTGAAATTACATCTCATACGAATATTATTATTATTATCATCATCATCATCTTTATTAGGGTGAATTAATAATATATTACAAAGAAAACATATGAAATATTCAATCAAACTATTAATAGAATATAGACCCTAAATGGGCAAGGTATAAACGGGACTCAAAGAACCATGCAAGATACCTTCTCAAACGTTATCAAAACTAATTTAAATAACATTACACACACAAGACATAACTCTACACACACCTATAGTGCATCACAGTTTACGTCCTATGACACGAACAGTCACGAAACAAGGACCACGTACAGGACAAGTCAACATCGTAAATAGAATCAACAATACTAGAGTATCTACGTTTACTAAACATTTAAAAGAACTAGGACTAGACACATGTCCAAACATACATCTTTACATACAATGCTCCACAGTTTGACAACACGATTATGGTAGCCTACGAAGATTGAAAAGTAAATCACTACATAAGCGAGATCAATTCATTTTGATCCAGTCCAAGGAATGAATTAATTTTGATCCTAGGACTGGATCAATATAGGCTACTTCACCATGTCAAAGATGATAACTACTATATTATCCACCAGAACTCAACTTTAATTTCTGTATTTCTTTTATTTCTGTTTGTTTGAAGCAATTTGTGACCGTTACTTGATCCCGTTGTTTTCTCTACCAAACAGATCAGTTTCTTACAGATTTTTGCACCGTTGTTACAGAAATTCGCACTGCTGTTTATACGATTAACTGTACTGAAATCAACCAATCACAGTCGAGTAATATGTTTATGTATACAGCTATTTCAATTAAGGTTGTATCTGCGAAGCAGATATATTGCTATCGCAAACTTACCGTACTGTTACCGTATCCCTAGCCATTCAGCGACGAGCTTGTATAATTGAGCCAATTTAAGCCAATCAGCGATTAGCCGTGCCCGCATGTAACCTGCGAACGGGCATAGATTGGCCTCGTGTTTAATATTCTTTCAAAAATATCTTGATTTTATCAATTTATCTTGAATTGGTTTTCTTGTTTTCTCGCCATCCTACTTGCGATATTATTCAGAAGTTATTTATCAACATGAAAACTTATCCTCATCTGGTAAGTAGTCACATACCACATATTTTTATTATATATTTAAATACCAAACTTGTGCAAATACCACGTATAATTTTGCATATTACACTTTAAATGTTGGATTTTTTAAAGCCATTTGTCAACAATAATGACTCAACATAGTTCACAAAAAGACACAGTAAAACAATCCTTCTGTGACTTCTGTAATATTTTAAACAGTCAAAACATAGCAGGCAATATTGCCAATGAACAATATCAAAGGAAACTAATGGTCTCAGGAGATATTGAATGAAATCCTGGTCCTGTATTTCTGTATATTAACTCTGTATAAACTCTGTTCAAAACAACAGTCCAACTAAGCTGTCATCAAATGTAGTGTTGGAGGTTAAAGATGTTATCAGTTAAAATACTTAATACATTTTGGTTTTACACATTAGAGTTTATAATTAAACAACATTTTTACAAACATTTTCAAATGCTAATAAAAGAATCCCCACCCTCCTGAGCCTCATTACATTGTCATTTTGCTTTCTAGCATAACTGTTTTTGTTTAGAGATTTATAATACAAGAATGATGAATAAATGTACTGGATATTGGCTGAATAATTTTGTCCGAACAACCCACTTGCAAGACAATCTAACCTAAATGCATTAGTAAGGAAAATAACTTAACAGCTACAATGAATAATCACATATTATATGGATGGATCTGATCAATGGCACACAATGTACAAAACTAAACTTGTGATGTCTTCTACTCATACCGATTTTACTGTCATACTGTTTTTGTGAGGATATGCTGTATTAAACTGAACAGTGTCGCATATCATTAACTGTGCACAAGACTGGAATTGAAATATATACTTCACTCATGACGTTCAAAACATTCTCTGTTATTCAGCGGTCTTTGATATATGATTGACTCTTTGCTACAGTAATGCATGTTTCTGGAATAGTTTGTGTATGTTACTCAATAGTTAACATTGGCAAGTGCAAACAACAAGTGAAAAAACTTTTGCTTCATATGATTACAATAAAGTTTTGAAAATTCTATCAGTATGGATTCCGATTGAATTCACAAGTGGCAGTTACTAAATAGCCAGCTGTATAGACACTTCGAGTATTGTTTGCATGGAATTTTTATTTCCTTACTGCATAATTATCCACTACAATCATAATCACATTATAAAATTAGTTAAATTTTCTTGGTGCTGGGGGAGGGGGGGAGTTGCCCTTGCTACTCTCCCCGCTGTGTACAGCCTTGCTAGATGTGTATTATGTTTGACTTTAAAATCTTATTTGCTATTACATTTATTATAATAAGTCACGAAATATTTAAATTGTTCCATGTCATCTTCATTATTAAGTTCCTTTCAACAAAAATACAAAATGTGAATCAATTTTTTTCGCATATACATGTACGCGTCGCGTACCTATTTTTAATTTTTCCATCCAAATCTTCCTATAAGAATAACCTTACCAATTGCTAAAATTTTGACATATGAATAAGCATTTCAATAAAAACGACATGACTATTATCAGCTTTGGTGTGTGGAAACACCACGTAGCTAAATCTATTATTTGCACTTATATGCATATAGCAGATATTGACAATAAAAAGCAATACGTTCTTTGAACGTTTGTATAGCCATGTAATAAAACGCACACCAAACTTAATTGTACAATGTATACTAGTTCGCATGTACAATGTATACTAGTTTGAGCTTTAGGCACGAACACCAGCTAACTGGAAACTCACTTGAGTGAGAAATAATTCATCTCGGGTATAAGCTTCCCGGGAAACACACCCACAGACTGGCTGAACTGGCTAGAAATGTATTTATTTTATAGTTGCGCAGTTCTGATTGTCTAATCAACATGCGGTATATGTGTTAAATAAACTTCTACTTATTAAAAGCAAGCAATGTAAAAAATATTTCATATTAACCCGAAAATTTGAATTAAGAGTCCACTATAATTCATACCGATATTAAAAACTGTACTTTGACAACATAAGCAATAACAAATTAATTTCGTAGCAAAAGCAATT